CAGCCCTCCAACGAGCGGCTGGGGGCAAGTTTGACCCGCCCCGAGGGCAACGTCTTAGAATGCCCTCCCCCACCACCGAGGATGAGATCCCTCAAAAGGAAAACGGCTTCAGCTTGCCGACAGAGGCCAGCGTGTCCGTCAGCAGCTGTCTTCAGAGGAACATGTTTTCGACTGAATCCAAGAAGCCTGCCTTTCCGCAGGGCGTGAAACAAACAACGGGTATATGCTGTTCCCTAGTCCAGCAGCGGCTGGCAACTTCGGTTTTGTTTTTTCCTCTCTTCTCCTTTTCGTTGGTTTTTTGGTATACAAAATCATCGGCCGCGCGCGCGCGTTGCCTTGCATGCGGCTGCGGGCAACCGCGAGATTGCTGGCCGTGGCGATCGACGCGCCGCACTTTGCGCTGGTCGTCTTGGTGCACGCGCTCCGAATGCAGCAGATGCAGAGGAGAAGAGGGAGGAGCTTTGGGGGGGCGATTCATGGGGAGTGGGGGCTGACTCTTTTACTGTGCGGTGCGAGCGCGCGCGCTGGCTCCGAGACGTCGGAAGCCGTGGGGCCAGAAGGCCATCGCGGGCAGCGGGATTTGTCAGGTTTACGATTCCAAGACCGACTCCCACAGATGAACCATAGAGCTGTTGACGCATTTCTAACAACAGGAGTAGTCCAGTATGCGCGCACTCGCGCCAGGCCCAGACAGACCCCTGAACGGCGAGAGCTCCAGGATGACTTCTTTGGAACAGAACGCGAAGAATGCGCAGTCATCCGCCGTCGTGAGGGTGGCGTCTTCATTTCCGAGAAACTATGGACTCTGGTCCAGGACTCAAGTGATCAGCGACCCGGGCGGCCCTCGCGGGGGCCGGCCGCCGCGCGCCCGCCTCCGCGCTGCTCGACGCGGCGACGGTGGAAGGCGCAAGGCGATCATTTTCTGTTTTGCTGCCCGCCTGCCTTCCCGGGTCGCGAGGACCAGCTTCGACTCGCGTCGGCGGTCGCGCCCGTCGCGCTTCCGACGCGGGGCGCGGACGTGAACCAGTGTCATTGCGATGCCCGCGCCTGCGCGCTGAAGCCGATGCGAGATTTCTTTCCTCGTCGGTCGGTCGCCCCAAGAGCGCTTCTCATGTCCCAGGGCCCCCTGCAGGCTGCGCCCTTCCGGCGTCGGGTTCAACGGGCCCTGGGGTCGTCGAGGAATCGACGTGGCCCCCCGCCGTTTTCACTTAAGTCCAGGACCTTCGTGATCAAAACGCCCCTGGTCGCGCCGCGCATGATGGGCGGGCGCCCCCCCCCCACCCCCCCCTTCAAGTAGATGATTACTTCGAAAGAAAGGCCAGCTATGACTCTGCCATGCAGATGCCCGCGCTTTTCCCTGCCTGCCCCCGCGAGGCACTGCAGTTCCTCTTGCAGTCAGCTGATCATTGAACGAACATATCGCCAGTGATGATGCCGGGGCCGAGTGGCAAACTGTTGGGGCGCTTCGGCAGTTTGGGGCGCCCGGAAGGGAAGAGTGGGCAAGACTGAGGCATCCCAGCTTCAGATTCGCAAGAGCCCCAATGAGCATTTCCTTCGGGCCAGAACTGGTCTCGATGTAGATACTCTTAACAGTTGAGAGAAGCTCGAGCGTGCTGATATTCTGGACAGGAACCACTTGTGAAATCTACAATGAAGATCAACGCCTTCCTGACGACGCAGTTGTGCCCCCCAATAAAGTCATGGCCGTGAGAGCTTAGGGGGCGCGTTATTTGTAGCAGAAGAAACAAAGCCGCGGGCCCAGATCTGATCAGTGACGATTTGTGGCGCGCCGCCGCCGGCGAATTCAGCCACCTTCTGCAACTGGTTAGCGCCCGTCTACAGGGCGGGCCTTGGACCAGTGATTGAGACCGATTTCCGACAGATCCTGCTGGGGTCGCATGTCATAAAGCACCATCGCGGTTTTCTGAGATCCATCTTGTGCCAGGTCACGCACGCGTTGCTTGGCGAGGTCCAGCTCGGCGGCCTCGCGAAGAAGGGCTTAGAACATGCGATCCTGCTCGCTCGCAGTTTCGCCGCGTCGCGCGCGGCCCAGGGCTAGTCTGCGCTGTTTGTTTTCAGCGCTTTCAAGAAAGCCTTTCGTTCAGGTGGTCGTCAGTTCTTCTTGCCAGCAGGGCGCGCAGATTACGTTGGCCAGATAATTAATGATAATCAGATACCCCCAGTGCCTCATGGAACCGATGAAAGAGCTCCGTAGACAACCAGCTATCTTGAGCCACCCCCAGGACTCTCACCTCGACCGCGTGTGCGGGATCAGCCCTCGCGATGCCTGGCCCCGGTTTGGCTGTGCTCGAGGGGCCGCGCTTGGCAAGACAGTCGCGAAAGTAAGAGTGCTTCTTGCTGGTTACTTGTTCAAGTTCACTTGTGATGGACAGTTCAGCAAGATATCAGCGATCACCTCCAGGGGAAAGGATGGCTGCACATGGTTGCCGCTCCCGCCCTAGGGCAGCGCGCAGTCGCTTCCATCGAGGATCGAGTCCCCCATGCGCATGGCCCCTCTTATGTCGGTGATAGTTTCACTCTTGCTTCAGTAGACCGGCGTGACAGATGGGCGCGGGCCCTGGACGACACCGACATAGTTTCTTTTGAAACCGCCGCGCAGCGAGGTCTCTCCCTTCACTACAAACGAGGTAAAACGGAAGCCATGCTATTCTCTTTCGGCGAAGTTCGGTAGCGATGTCAGAAACAGTTCTACCATGTCCCCTGTACTCCCTACTCCGTTTCTAAGCATGGGTTCCAGAGTCACCCCGCGAAGCAGTATAATTATCTTGGCTTCCATGTCCCGTCCGCACTCAGCCTTGCTATAGAATTCTCTTCGAGGATGTAGCGAGAGTACGAGGCGCTCAAGACCGCCCTGGAAATTGTGAATCAGGGAACCGATTTGGATACGAAATATCGCATCAAGTATTCTATGCCATCGTGTCCCCCATCTCTTTCACCGCTGTTCCGCGCGGCCTCAGATAGGAAAGGGGGCGCGAGAGCGTCTGGAGTCAGCGCATGCGCGCCCTTTCAGGGCGGCGGCCTGCGTGGCCTGGGACGAGGCCCAGACGCAGCAATATCATTCGTGCTGTGTATGTTGCTGCCAATGTGCACCCGTATTCTGCCATTGTTAGCCTTGGGCGATTGCGACCCGCTCGGCGGGCCCATGGAGACAGGGCCTTTGTCCTCGCGAAAACGTTGTTTTTATGCATATTTCACGCCCCTAACGGCTTGAGCGAAAATGTGATCAATGATGTCTATTGGCTGACTGACGGCGCCTGATTTCTGCGCCCGGAATGAGACCCACGGGAGACTACGAGTCGTGGTCTCGAATGGCCAGGGTTCCCCCGAACAGGTGTTTCCGTTTCTGTGCTCCAGCTGAAACTGCCGCGCTCCGCGCCCTTGTTGGGGAAAAAAAATTCGACCCTTCAAGCCCCGCGCTGCAAATTGCTTTCGAGAGGCCATCTCCCCCCCCCCCCCCGCGCCAGAGCCCACGGCGCCCAGTGAGGGGCGCCAACTTCGTTTGCTTTAAATGCTCCTTCGTAACCGACATCCTGGGTGCCCTAACTGCCCGTCGCGCAAAGTTTTTTGTTGTTTGGCAAAGCCGGCCGGTGTGCGCCTGGTCCAGGCTGTAATGCTTGTGGTCGACATTTCCACGCCAGGATCCGACTGCTGCGACATCTTCGGCGCGGGTCGATAGTATGTCTCGCCAGGCTCTCCCGTGCACTTCGGCCACTTGCGAGTGGGGCAATGCTGATTCTCATCGGACAAGATGGCAGCCTTGCTGCGCAGCTCGCTCGGAAGGTAGATAATGCAGGCGTTGCCGAACAGCCGCCATGCCGTAGTTGTGGCCCAACCTTGGTCGGAGTCAAGGCTACTCCCATGCCAGGGTTCCAGATCAGCCACTACGCCGCCAACGTGCACGACGATCAGCTTGCGCATGATACCGCTCCCGTGCCCTATGGCGACGCCCTGTATATATTGCACGCAGCGGCCAAGTCTAGTCATAATTTTGACTCCCAGTTCTTTGTAGACATCAGGTGCCGATTTCGCGGTGCCCCTTTCAATGTCTTGCATTTCCATTTTCTATGGAGGAACTTGTCATATGCATACACATGTTACTTGACCTGGTTTCCCAGGGTCGGGTTGCAGCAGTGGCGTGTGAAGTCAACCCATCGGATCGCACCATTGCGCGCCCATGGGGATATCCATGGCTTAGAGGACAGGCCAGGCATCGGCTTCACCTCTCGAGCGATGCCCTTAGGACCTCTCTGAGCATGGCCTGTGTGGGTGCGTGGGCTGGCGCTGCGTGTTCCATACGTACACCGGTTTGAGGCTCCTCATGCGCAAATCAACTTCCTCGTCTTGCCATTCGTCGAGCACCTCATACAGCAAGCGGGGTAAGGATTGTTTCAGAACTGCCCTGTTTACAGGTTCCCTACAGGACGTGGGGACCAGCCGCTGCTCCTCGCCATAAAATCAGCGACGGCATCTAGGGACTACTTGCTCGCGCCCGGTGCAGCAAATACCTCCTTGAGCAACTGGCGGCAGGTGTCTTTCCCACACCGCTTAACCTCAACGTCGACCCTGGGGGAGATGGTTTTGACGACTGGCTCTGTCCCTTTCGGGTCCCGATGGACCCTTACCTCGGCTCTCGGGCCTCGCGATCGCCACCAGCCTTCACCCGACGAGGTCAAACGGGCCCTCGTTCCTGCATGTCGTTTGCATGTAAGACACAAGCCTCGTCGTCCCTATAGCAGCAGCAGGTTTGGGGAGGAGGAGTAGGAGGCGGAGGAGGAGGAGGAGGAGGAGGAGGAGGAGGGGGAGGAGAAGAAGGGGGAGGTGGAACACGACTTCCGACGCCCACGTTCGCCGTCCCTATAGCAGCAGCAGGTGGGGGATGAGGAGGAGGAGGAAAAGGGGGAGGTGGAGCACGACTGCCCTACGCCTACGTTCGACCACCTGTGCTGCCGCCGCTGCCCCCAGCCCCGCCGCGCCCCGAGCTCCCGAGCTGGACATGGACGGCTGGGAGTGCCGGAAGGGGCCGCACGGCCAGACCTACTGGCACCACCAGGCGGCATCATTGGTTGACCCAAGAGGTCAGAGCCCCGAACCATCAGGGGTAACTCGGGTCAGGGCTAACTCCGGTTCGTTTTTCGGGAATCCGAACCCGAGTTACCCCGGGCCCGAGTTACCCCAGATCATTCGGGCGTCCAGAGCCCCAAAACACCAGGGGTAACTCGGGTCAGGGCTAACTCGGGTTCCTTCTTCGGGAATCCAAGCCCGAGTTACCCCGGACCCGAGTCACCCCGGATAACTCGGGCGCCCAAAGAGGGGGTCCAGCTGAATGGGGGGGGGCGCAATAGATTTGGCGCGATCGATTCGAGGAGTTGCCATACGTTTGGGGCGTGCAACAGGTTCCAGTGCGCAGCTGCACTGCCGGATCTCGCGTGCAATGCAACAGCTGGAATCAAATGCGAAACAAGTCTTTGGCGCAGAACGTGTGCAGTACTATTGCCCAACATCTGTTGTACCACCCCCTTTCATGTGGACCCCCTTTTTTTAATCGACCAACAGCACCCCGCCCTGGACCCAGACCTCCTCGCGTTGTGAAGAAATCACGACGGGAGGTTTTTCATCGTTTTCGGTCTCCGGGGGCCCTCCACGGGCCTCGGAACCGTCCACAACGGCTCAGGATTGGAAAAGCCGGTCTGGGGGAAAGGGCCCAGGCCTCTGGAGTTCGACGTTGTGGCACAAATCAAAACGTCGGGGGCCTGGGGCGGAGGACGAGGTGGAGGACGAGGAGGATCGGGGATCGAGGTTTCGAGCAGCGGGGATGGCGAGGAGGATCGGGGTGCGGGGTTGAAGGATCGGGGCGAATCCCGATCCCCGATCCTCCCCGTCCTCCTCCTCTCTTTCTCCGCTGGTTCTCCTCTCTCCTCGCTCCTCTCTCCTCCTCTCTCCTCCTCCCTGCCCCCACCGCGGGAGGCAGAGAGCCCCACCAAACCGCACAGTAAGAAGAACACACGGCATGAACATACACTTTCGGAGGTTCGAGAATTTATGGACATGCAATTGTTGTTGATTCTTCAATGCTCATCGAGCTCGAGCTGGTGGCGAGACGGTCTGTCGAAACTGGCGTCATCGTTGTCAACGTCCTCCTCCTCTTCCACCTCCCCCTCTCTCCTCTTTCCTCTCTCCTCCTCCTCCTCCTCCTCCTCCTCCTCCTCCTCCTCCTCCTCCTCCTCCTCCTCCTCCTCCCCCCTCCTGAGCCCAGACCCCCTCCCGCTGTTAAACACAGCTCGACGGAAGGGGGGTAGGACAAGCCTGGACTTGCCCAGAGCAGTTCAGGAACGCTCTGGAGCGGCCACGGCGGCGCTCCCGATACACCCAAGCACGCCAGAGAGGGAGAATTAGTTCTCTCCCCGAGGTGGGAGATCAGGGGCAACGTGAAGGAGCAGAGGGGGAGCGCATCGACACCGCGCTCATCGCCGATGGGGGGGCCGACAGCCCCACCCCGCCTGGGAACGTGCGGTTTTGCGATCGGGGGCCTACCGCCGATCTATCGGCGATGCATCGCCGATTCCAGGTCACTGCTTCCCCCGCTGAGCCGGCCCCCCCCCCGTAACGCTCCTCCTCACGGAGGTTGGAAGGACCACCTCGCTGAGCCCCCCGCGCCCAAAACTGCTGGCGGGATGGACTCCTTGCTGGACCATCCGTAATCGCAGTGTGGGTTCGCTGCAATCTTTTCCCCGAGCTGCGCATTCTGTCCAGTCAGCTCCTGGCCAATCCGCCGAGGGGGGCAGGGGCGCGTTCCTCACACGAACCCAAATCGAGTCACATCAGATTTCTCCTTCGCATCCCTCCTTTATCCTCCACTGCGGTCAGATATCTCCTGCTAGCTCGCGCGTAATCGTAGCGTGGTCTCGCTGCAATGCAATGGTTTGCCCTGGTCCCCACACCCCTCCAGTCTGCTTTGGGCCAGTTCGCCGATTGGGGCGTTGGGTCCCGCTGTTTTTCCGAGTACAAGTCGAGCCGAGTCGAGTCACGCGACTTCCTAAAACAGAAAGGGGAGAAGCGCGCGACGACGACGAGCGAACGACGTCGACGCCCGCTCGCGCACGCCCAGTTCAAACCAGCGCCGCCCCCCTTTCCTCCTTCGCCCCCGTCCTCCCATGCAGGCAAGAGGCCCTTCGGCGACACATGCGCTTGCCTGTAGAATCCGGGGTCATGATACAACGCGTCACACATTGTAGAGTATCCGTTTTCAGTTTCCTACAGGAGAGTGGTCTGAAATTGAAGAGGGAATTGTCGATGTGCCCAGCTGATCGCTTCGTCTCCCGACGCCCGTCCCCTTAGTCGGGACAGTTTGCTGAGGCGGCGACTTTTCCTCCTCCTCCCCCTCCTCCTCCTCTTCCTCTTCCTCCTCCTCCTCCTTCTCCTCCTCCTCCTCCTCACCCTCACCCTCCTCCTTCTCCTCCTCCTCCTCCTCCTCCTCCTCCTCCTTTCCATCCTCCTCCTCGTCGCCCTCCTCCTCCTCCGCCCCCCCCATCCTCTCCTCCGTGGGCGGGGGGGCACGCGGCGACGCTGCCGCCGCCGGCAGCCGAGGAGTCCCGCGACTCCGTCCCAAGTTTGGGGTTGGAACCAACCCGCGCGGCAAGGGTCCTACACTTGTCCAGCGCTTGCCTTTTGCGCCCGTTCTGTCGGCCCATCATTGGCCGCTTTGGCTGGCCGCGCCCCGCTCGCAGAGTATTGACGAGGCCTTCCATGCCCCTTTGCATTTATATCGCGCGTCTTTATTCAACGGGTTGATTGCGTAGATATCTTCAGCGGGGCGCCCCCCCCGCGGGAACCGCGCCATCAGGAGGATGCCGCTTGGGTTTTGCTGCTGTCAGGGGCGACGCCATGGGGGGATTTTTTTTTGCGGAGGCCGCCTCGACCCCCAGCCGCCCTTTCATCGCCGATGGGGGCCTAATGCCCCCCCCCCCCCGCGGGGGCGCGCGACGTCGCCGTCCGGGGCGTGTCCCCGATTTACGGGCGGTATTTTGCGCGTTCGAGCTCGACCCCCCCCCCACACTGGCCAGCGCCCGTTGATTATATCGTTTTTGTTGTAGGTCAGGGCTATCTTTGGCCAGGGAATATGGTGCACGGTTTGGCCCTCTTTGGCATTGGCCGGGAGGGTGTGTGCACGTACTGGGGAGTGCCAGGGCGGGGCGACCGCGGCCGCCCACGGTGGTGCTGCCTGGGCGACTCCTGCGTGGACCATGGCTCGGTGTCTCCCCCTTGGAGCTGGTGCCCCCGGGGCCCCAGGCCCCTGGCGTCGTGCTTTTCCGCAGCGTGGCCCCCCAGTGGTCCGGACCCCTTTCCCAGGATATAACATACGCTTTTTGTGCCAAGTCGTTTTCGGCTGGCCCTGGGGTCCAGCGAAGGTCCCCGGATGCCACCATCGGCAGAAACCTCCCGTCGGGTTTTCGGCGTCATTTTCCGCCGGCGGTCGTGTTGTTGGTGGTGGCGGTGTTGAGGGTCCGAGTAGAAGAAGTGGTCGGAGTATCGCGCCGCATCGCCGATGCATCGGCGACGCGGCTGGATGTGGAGCCCGATGTTCTGCACGCCGACGGTGCCGATGCATCGCCGACGTGGCCGATGCAGCGCGGATGCGGCGCGATCCTTGGACCCCAAGTCATGTCAAGACGCCGGAATGAGGACCGCTCTGGGCTCGGGAGGGGCTCGGGTTGTGGGCCTTCCCTCAGCGCTATTGTGACCCAGGCCCGCCGTGGCCGGAGGAACCCTGTGGTTCGTTCTGAGGTCTTTGTCGCAGGTGAAACGCGCACCCGTAGCCTTGGCCTCGCGGGTCGGGCTCCTGGCCCGCGACCCGCTCCTGGCCCGCGGCCCCGCGGGTGCGGGGCGCTCCCCGCGCGGAGCGTGTCCGTTCGACCGCGCGTCCGCGGCATTTGCGCCCCGGAGTGCAGACCTCGAGGGCAAAAGAGACGGGGGTCAATGCAAACGGGGGTCAGCCAGGGCACCAGATCCTGCAGGATCCTGCAAAGACCCCCCCTGGTTGACCCGGGTCAGCGAGCCGCTCGTGGCCGCGAGGCGGCCGCGCCATATTGCGAAGACTTGCGTTGCAGTTTTTTTCTCTTGCATTGCAGTTTTTGGTTTCCTGCTGACCCGGGTCTGGATTGACCCGGGTCAGAAGATCCCCGAGCAAAAGGCTGCGGATATGCTCACCGCTCGTGATTCTTGTGCATGCCCTGTGGCGGGTAGCACGATGGCTGTACTCGGACCCCGTCTGAGCGACGCAGAAGAACCGGGCCCGTCTGCGCCGACATTCGCGCGCAAGCTGCCCGCGTAAGGTCGCGCGTGCGCGCCCTCGTCTCCTGCGTAGCGTGCCGCGCTGGCGGCCCGCGTAAGCCGCGGCGTAATGTCGCTACGCCATTTCGCGTAAGACACCCTTTCTCTTTGTCGCCCATCTGGGAGGCCTCCTAGTCTCGGGGTTGGACAGAAATCCACCCTGACATGTCGATTAGTGCATTGTCCGTTCTCGGTTCTCGAGAGGGCGCCGCAGCCGTCCTTGTCCAGGCTTGCGCCCGCCAGGTTTGGGCCCGAGGTCGTTTTCACTAAACAACGTTTTACTAAAGGGGGTTTTGTCCATCCCCGAGGTTCGGTGGCAACCCACGGGAGACTCCCCTGCCATCCTGTCGGCTCTTGCGAGTCGACGCTAATCGACGCCAAGTGCACGCTCGTCCACGCTTCCTCGACGCTGATCGACGCCACATCGAGCCCAAATCGGTGCTGCCTCCTCGGCTCCCAGGTCGCTAATCGGCGCCAATCGACGGTGCTCGGCGCCAACCGCTGTCCCATACCGGCCGCTCCGCCGCCGCGCCTCGCGCGCCCTCCTCGAGGCAGTCGGGCCCGCCCCGTGGGACGCCGCGGCGCCGAAGGCCGGCCCGCCCCGAGCCGACGGAGCCGACCTCGACCGCGGCGCTCTCGGCGTCGGCGTCGGCGTCGGCGTCGGCGGCGGGCGAAGACTCGGGGGCCCTCGTTCGGCAGCAAATCATGGGAGCCTCGTGTACCCTCGTGATTCTGTCTTGTGCATCGGCAAGCATCGATGCGCGTCTGGAAGTCGACGAGATAGCGCCTATCTAGCGCCGACTAGCGCCGGTTTAGCCCAGGTCAGCGTCGACTAGCGTCGAGTGCCGACTCGCAAGCGCCGACAAGATGGCATGGGGGGCTCCCGTGAGTTACCACAGAATGCTCGTCATCAACAGTAGTGATGTTTTTGAAGTTTTCTGTTGTTTTGCTGTTGTTGGACTCGGGGGCCTCGCCGGTCCCTGGGACCGTGAAAAACGACTCAGCATGAATCGCCGGTCCTGGGGAACGGGTCGAGACTTCTTCAAGCAGCGGCGAATCGTCCTGGCTTGTGTGTTCCCACGAAATGTTATCAGAACAATTCTGGATGGGACTGCCCTGTTTTAACACATCGGGTTTACGTTCTAAGAACATGGTTTATGTTCTTTGATCATTTTTGGGTTCTAAGAACATTTCGTGGTATGACTATAGGAATGCTGGGACGGTCGGTCCCTGCTCAAGTGGAGCAAGCATAACGCCAGGGGCCTGGGGAGGAGGAGGAGGAGGTACCGATGCCGCTGGCCTTCCCTCGCTGTCCTTGCTGCTCTGGCCTCCTGGGAACCCTCGTGGCCGCGGCTGCAGTCGCATCGGCATCCTTAGTCAGATCGCAGCCTGGCACCCCAGGGGAGGGAAGAGTTGCTCCCGATCTTCGCGTCGTTTTATACTTAGTGGTAGCGGTGCCTTCTAGTTCCCCCAGCGAGCGCGAGCCGACGATGACTCAGGTCCCCTCGCGACGAGACAATCACCGACGTTTTTGTGTCGATTCCGGCCTCTGGAAGCTCTCGCGGGGCACGGGCCGTAAGAGAACGAGTCGGGATCGAAAACAGGTCTCAGGGTCGCAAAAGCGGCATACATGTCTTCGAGAGATAATGATAATAACAAACTTATGTAAATACTAATTCTAATACTAATACTACTAATAATAGTAACACCAATAACAATAATATCAACACGAATAATACTGATAATGATAAAACGAAGAAGAAGAAAAATAATAATCAGAAAAATAATAATAATACATATAATAATAATAAGAATAATAATAAGTGCGTAACCATGTTTTTTTGTCACGGTCCGCGCGGAGTGCTTGGATCTGCGCTGGGACCCCTCCGTCGGCGTGTCCGGCGCCGCCCCTGGCGCGCCTCGCGCGCGCAGATCCAAGAAACCCGCGCGGAACGCCACCAGTTTATGCTCATGCCGTTTTCTTTCCTCTCTCTCTCTCTCTCTCTCTCTATATATATATATATGTGAGTGCAGGCCTCTTGGGGGCAGCGCTGTGGACGGATCGTAGAGATGGCAGAGGTCGCCGCGAAGGCGAGGGGTCCAGAGGGTCCCCGGGTGCCCAGAGCTCCCGGCCCCTGCAGCTCGGGGCCCCGCGCGGGCCCCCGGGGCCAGCAGGAGCGGGTCTCGGGAGTCACGGGCTGGTCCCTGGGGGAAGCCCCCCCTCGGGATCCCGCTCCTCGGAGGAGGAGCGGCTACCCCTGCCGCCGCCCTTCCCTCGTTCTCCCCTCCGTGGGCCTCCCGGGAGGCCCCCGTCGCCACCGCTGGACTCGCCTCGGAACTCTTTTTCCGGACGCACCCCGGGAGAGGTCCGGGGAGTCGCGGTGTCGGTACCTTTGGGTTTCTCCAGTTCCCTTCATGCCAGGACGGAGACGACGGAGACGACACGACGACAATGGCGGCGGCGGCGACGGCAGCTGCGGCCGGGGCGGCATAGGCGGCACAGGCGGCAGCGACGGCCACGGCGACGGCGACGGCGAGACGTGCGAAGTTGGAGGATTTTGTTTGCCCTTCTTGGGCCTCTTGGGGTGCTACGGCTGAATCCCCCTCGGAATTGTAGCACACAATCACACCCAGGAGAGTTCTGGGAAGCATAGAAGACTGAACAATCGCTGCGCATAAAGTACGAGCGAAGCACAAGCGGGAACCTACGTAACGGGCGTTTACCCTCATCAGGACACACCGCCGCAAAGTCTCCACGTCTGGGCAAGTCTGCGGCAGACGACTTAGACTTGGGATGTGCCGACGTTGTGATCGACGTACTGTTGCAATACGCATTTTCTGACGTGGCCTGCGTTAGGCCTCGGACAAGGCGTTGGAAACGCCGGCGTCGGAGCAGGAGTTGGAAACATAGGCCATGCCAAACCGTCGTTTCTTTGCCGATGAGTCGTCGGATGCATTGCTGCCCACACGGTAATGTGGCATGTGGCGTGCCAGTGGACGCAGGACTCGAGCTCGACCTCTGAGGGCTGACCCCCACAGCGCGCGGTTGGGGGGGCGCCCGCAGAAGTCGACAAACAAACAACGGCATGAGCATCAGCTTCTGGCGCTCCGCGCGGACTTCTTGGATCGGCGCCTGGGACCCCTCTGGCGGCGCCTCCGGCGCCGCCCCTGGCTCCGCGAGGCCACGGCCGAGGGCCCCGGCGCAGATGCAAGGAGTCCGCGCGGAGCGCACGAATGCCAAGAGACACGCTCTACGATGGAGAGCGTGACGCTCCCAGACCAAAGCCCAATTTTTGGGGGCCACACGCGAACCCTACCCCTACCCGCCACGATTTCTGAGGGGGAGGGTGGGGTTCACTTCGCTCGGGGGCTCCCGAGCGAAGTGAGCCCCGCCCTCCCTCTCAGAACTCGTGGCGGGTAGGGGTAGGGTTCGCGTGTGGCCACCTATCAAGGGGCGTCCTGGGGTCCCAGGGTTGGGCTGCTCATGGAAGCTTTCTTGCGCATCGGCCCCCACTGTATGGCGCTTGTTTCTTGCTCCAGAAGGTCAGCAAGCCGCAGGCCGGGACCGACCTCCTCGCGGCGGCCATGCGGCTGGTCCCGAAGTGAGCCCCTGCCCGTTGCCGCGGCGCGTCGGCGCGCGGCCGCCGCCGGGAGGGTGAGCCCCCGAGCGCGGCCGGGCCACCGCCAGGAGAGTTGTGGCCGACGGTTCATGGAGAGGAAGCACGTTGCCGAATAACCCCAGGAAGACTTTAAGAACCCCCCCCTCCGGCAAATCGATAACTCTTCCGCACCCTGGAAGCGTTACCTGATGATGATAAGCATGATGATGATGGATGCTAAAGCTATCGTTCGGTTATTTCGGCCCCTCGGAATATCGAATAAAAAATGCGGTGCTACGATATCGCCGGGGGGTTTCTTAAATGCTTCCTGGGGTTAATCCCCAGATGTCTAGAAGAGGCTTTAAACATTTCTGAAATGTGTAGAGTACATGCTTAAATGCACTTTTGTTGAACATGTTTCAAACATTCTAAATTCATCTTTAATCCAAGGATCGGATTGTTGGGGTGTCAATTGTCGTGGCGTCCACAACAGGGGAGCCGTGGCCTTACGTCGGGCACGTCCCTCTACAGGAGGAATATGCAAAAATAGTCAAACAATGCTCTGGGGTCGATTTGTTTGTTGACTCTTGCGGCCTGACCCTGGGAGATCGCCTTTTTATTACCTGGCGGTGCCGGGCGTGTTCGAGGGAGGGGGGATCGGGGCTCAAGCGGCGAAAAGAAGAAACGCCATGCGCGGATTTCTTGGATCGGCGCTTGGGCCCCTCCGGCAGCGCCTCCGGCGCCGCCCCTGGCGCGCTCCCTGCGCCAGGGAGGGGGGTCCTGCGCAGATCCACAAGAAATCCGCGCGGAGCACCAAGAGTTTATGTTTATGTTTTCTTTATTATTTTGGGATCGGGTCTCAAGAGACGGGTGTCCAGCCAGAGCACCGGATCTTGCAGGATCGTGCAGAGGGCCAGGTGTGCATTGACCCGGGTCAGCGTGCAGGATCTTGCAGGATCCTGCAGGATTTTGCAGGCTTTTGCATGATTTTGCCAGATTCTGCAAGGCCCGACGGACCCAGGTCTGGGTTGACCTGGATCAGTAGATCTCCGAGGGGAGGTCGAGCAGTCGGGCAGTGGCCAAGCGTCTTGGCTTGCCTGTAGGCCCACCAGAGAAGGCTGTCAGAACCTCTCGTGGCCTGCGCGGAGTGTTCTCAGAGCAGTTCTGGCTGAGGCTGTCTTGTTTCAAAGCATCGGGCAACTGTTCTAAGAGCACTGTTTGTGCTCTTGGTTGGTGTCATGACTTGTTCGTGGCAGGCCCATGGAGCTGCCGGGACGGTCGGCCCCTGCTCCAGGAGGTGGGAGGGGGCCAGTCACGTCGTGATTCGCGCCGGCGCCGTCCGGGAAGGCGTACACCTTAGGCGATGCTTAAGAAAACCTAAGTTTTCGGCCAGAGTCTCGATTATTCTTAACGTTTCAATGTAAATCCTAAGATTTGAATGGGAATTTTGGGTTTTTATTCAAGTTCTGAGACTATGAATTTCTTAACCCATGATTTCTAAAGCGTTTCGCAGGGTGTACAGTAGAGACCCATGCCAAGAAACACCCTGCTTGCCTCCAGGGTGCCCTGGGCTTCTTAGGTTTCGATGGTTTTGCCATGGAGCGCGCGACGCTCCCGCACCAGAACCAACGGACGTCCTGGGGTCTCCGGGTTGGGTTTCTTGTGCGATGTTTCTAGTGGTCGAGCCCCTACTGTAAGGATGGCTCCTTCCCGGACAGCGCCGGCGCGAATCACGACGTGACCGGTCACCGCTCACCAAACCACCTCAGCCGAACCCGAAGGCTCCGATTTGCCCTCCATTTCCAGTGGGGGGAGGTCGGGGAACACTGCAGACACATATGAAGCCCGTAACGCCCCCAACCCGAAATTCGGGCCTTCGGGTTGGGTTGGAGTGGTCTGTGGGTAATCATCCAAGGGGGCGGGGTAGCGGGCCAGTCACGTCGCGAATAAGACAGTGTGGTTTTTTGGGTGCCCGCCACGAGACAGAGGGGTCCTGAAGGTAGCGGGTCCTAGGGTTTTTTTGTCGCCGTTTTCGGGATCCAGTTTGGCCCTCCGCGGGCCTTGGGGCCGTTAGAAGATTATGAAACGGCCTTCGGCCCATCCCGCCACCGTGCCTGGGTTGTTGTGGGTATGGAACCTACCGGATGTTCGTGAGGGTCTAGTGGGAGGGCTCTCGCGGGCCTCTTGGAGGCAGTTCGGAGGCCGCTTGTGGGCCGTTTGAAGGCCTCTTGGGGCATCCTTGGGGCCTCTTGAGGGCTTGGGAGGCCTCTTGGGGGCCTCTCGGGGCCTCCTGGGCGCTTCTTGGGGCCTCCTGGGGTGATCTTGGGGCGAAAGGCTCGGATGTTCGGTTCGTATTCCCTCTCGTGGCCCCCTCTGGGGGCCGTCTGGGGGCCCGCTTGGGTCGTCTTGGGGCGCTCTTAAGCCGTCTTGGGGCCCTCTTGGAGGCCTCTTGGGCACTTTTGGGGTGGTCTGGGGGGCCTCTCGTCGGAAAGCAGAACACTTGAGAGCGCCAAATTCCTTCAAACATCGACGAAACCTCAATTCCTTTTCCCTCGTGAGGCCCTCTTGGGAGGCCTCTTGGAGGTCTCGCGGAGGCTCCACTACCGCTTCCGGGGCCCACAACATGGCCCAAGAGGGTTCCAAGACGGTCCAAAGGAGGCCTCAGAGGACTCCAAGAGGGTTCCTTGACGGGCCTGTGTGGGGCACCTCTCTTGGTGGGGACGGCTCCTCACGTGCTCCGGACACCGCTCGGAGTCGACAAGACGTGTGGCATATTAATGTTGATGCTGACCCGATGTGTCGAAATTCGCGCGTGTGTCAACAAGCTGTGCTTCGCCTGGGATAGCCATCGATCTGACGTGTCGAAGCCAAGGCTGCTGTTAACAGTGGGCGCCGAACTCAAGGCTCAGTGTCACGGGTGCGCGTTGGTCTCTTACGGCCTTGTCAAGCGTGCGCCTCGCTCTTCGCGTGGGCGTCATTCCTGAGGGCAGCGACGCGTGTAAGTTTCACGTTTTGGTGCCAACGTTGCGTTAAATTTCTATGCTCATGTACGCCGTCATACAGTGTCTATGTGTTGCGTTTGCTTGACCACCCGAAGGAGGCCCCAAGAGGGGCCCGTCGTGGAGCATTCTGAGAGCCCTTCTGAACCCTTCCAAGCCGTTTTGAAGGAGCCCAAGGGGGCCCAAGACGGCCCCAGCACGAGACCAAGGGCTCCAAGAGGGCTCCAGGGGTGATCTTAACGAGCGCCCTTCATTGTGACGAACCCTGGGCCACTCTGGGGCTCCTCCTGGAGCCTTCTGAGGGGCCCAGGAGTGGTCACTCTGAGCCACCCTCAGAAGTGACCACCCCATGGGCCCGTGGCCCTCGGGCGCGGAGGAGGTGCGCGCGGGGGGGGGGAGGGGCGCTTGTGGGGCACGGGAGGGGGAGGCAGCTAGGGCGCGGCGTTCCGGAGGCAATTCGACTCAAAGCGGCAGTTCCGGCAGCAGGGGGGCGCACGGGCCATGCTCCGGAAATCCGTGAAAAAGCTGGTCGAGGCGTACCGCCGCGGGCTGCTGAGGAACGCGACCAAGAAGGAGCGAGCGGAGATACAGAAAGCGGACAAGGAGGACAGGGCCAAGACGGAGAAGAAGAAGAAGAAGAAGAACAAGGAGGCGGATAATAACAAGAAGAAGGCCCTCAAGGCGCGAGCCGGCGCGCGCGCGCGGGCGGGGGGGAGGGGGGAACTGTGGGCGCGCAGGGGGGCGGTCTGAGGGGGCGCCGGGGGTGGGTGGGTACTTAGGCGCATGGGGGGCGCGGGGGTGTGTTTAGGGAACCTGCGTGAATATTTTTTCAAGGGTGTCGACTATGTAGCAATGTTGCGCCAGCGCGTCAGCGGTGCATCCATTTTCGCGTTGACGTTGTAGGAACTTCTCGTTAAAAACAGCCCTGGTCATTCACGCGCCGCGTGCCAGCTTCTGTCAATATGGCCCGAACGAGTGTCACATATCGCGTAAACCACCCCTGTTAATTCAAATCCCCCGCCGTGCTGGTAATTTCCAAACCATTCTAGTAATTCCCACGAACTATTCAAAAACCTGGGTAATTCCCAACCCCGTCCCTGGCAATTCAATTCCCGAGCATTTCCTTCACTTCCCCACCCCCAGGCAATTCCTGAAAACAAATATTTTATATTCATATTTAGATAAAAAACATTTTCCTCATTTTTTACATTTGTTTTTAGTAGTTGGGAAGCAAAACCAACCCGATTCCAAAACATACCAAGCCGCACGTGGTACAACGTCAAGCCGTTCCTCCACGTTCTCTCTTCGTCTGTCTCCCTCTCCTCCTCCTCTTCCTCCCCTCTCTCTCTCTCTCTCTCTCTCTCTTTCTCTTTCTCTTTCTCTTTCTTTTCTCTTTCTCTTTCTCTTTCTCTGTCTCTGTCTCTGTCTCTTTCTCTCTTTTGATTATCTCTCTCTCTCTCTCTCTCTCTCTCTCTCTCTCTCTCTCTCTCTCTCTCTCTCTCTCTCTCTCTCTCTCTCTCTCTCTACCTCTCTCTCTCTCTCTCTCTCTCTCTCTCTCTCTCTCTCTCTCTCTCTCTCTCTCTCTCTCTCTCTCTCTTTTTTTTTTTTCTCTCTCTCTCTCTCTCTCTTTATATATATTTGTTTGTTCCTCTCTCTCTCTCTCTCTCCTCTCTCTCTTCTCTCTCCTTTTTTCCCCCCCTCTCTCTCTCTTTCTATCTATCTCTCTCTCTCTCTCTCTCCTCTCTCTCTTCTCTCTTTTCTTTCTTCTCTCTCTCTCTCTCTTGTCCCCCCTCTTTCTCTCTCTTCCTCTCTCCCCCCTCTCCTCTCCCTCTCCTCTCCCTCTCCCCTCCCCCTCTCCCTCGCTCCCCCCCCCTCCTCCCTCCCTCCCTCCCCCCCCCCTCTCTCTCTCTGTCCCTCGCCCTCTCCCTCTCCCTCTCTCTCTCTCTCTCTTTCTCTTTCTCTTTCTCTTTCTCTTTCTCTTTCTCTCTTCGTTCACCCTCTATGCCCCTTGCCCCGCCCCCTCCGCCAACCCCATTGGCCGACCCTCGTCCCAGTGCCCCTTCACGCCTCCCCTTCTGTCGCGAGTGCCCCCTCCTTTCCCTTCGCCATTGCCCCCCCCCCCCCCTTCGTTGCCCATTCCTCTTACATCTCGTTCTCGCGTACCCCTCCCGCCCTTCCTTTCTCCGCAGCAAGGAAGTGCGCGCCCCCTCCTGGCCCCCTCCTTCCACCGGCGCCCTCCCGCCCGAAATCCAGGGGGAGAGAGAGAGGAGCTCAGGCAATCGGTGACAGTTGCGACCGGGTTCCCAGGGCCCAGGAGGGGGCGCCCGGAGTGTGAATATCTGTTTGCAGTGACTGCGAAGTTCAGCATGCCATGCATTGTCCTTTTGCTTGCAGCCACGCGTCATGCAAGACTTTTGACGACGCGCCAGTCTACATCTACACAACGCGGCAATATTTCATTCGACGCCCTCAAAACATCGGCGACCCATCCTTCAACGCCTGCACAACATTGCAAACTATTCTTCGGCACCAGCAACAAAGAACTCTTCTACACCCACAACAAACGAACAACGGCATACCTTTAAACACCTGCACGGCATATCAACACTTTCCTCGACACCCACAACAACAGCGACGCGCTCCTCGACACCTACGAACAACAAAAACACTTTTGCCAACAAGCTCGTTGACACCCGCGCAAGCTTTCAACACGCTTGGACGAGCGAGTATGCAGACTCGACATAAGTTCAGCACTGCGTGCCGAATCATGTATGGGACACTTTCGGCCAATAGAAAGTTGTCACACCAACGCAACATGTGGGGTACAGTAACTCATCCCGGGAAGCGGATGTGGCATCATCATTTGGAGGGGAAAAGGCCTTTTTTGGGGCTGCATCGACTCCGAATCGCCCATTCGTCGGCGCTCGCCGAGCCCACCCCGCCCAGGACCATGCGGCTTCGCTTTCGGGGGCCCACTCGCCGATCTGCGGCCAGGCCAGGGCGCTGACGGAAGGACCACTCCGGGCTCGTGCCAGGGCTCTGGCTGCGAGGGGGCGCCGAAGATAGGTGGCGAAAGGCACGGGGATCCTGGGGCTGAGCAGGTTTAGGGTGGACCGTGAAACTCCTGGGTAGCAGCCCCAGAATCGCAGCGCATGTTTCACACGCGGCAGCGCGTTCGATCCCAGATTGAGCAGAGGGACAGCGAGAGCCACTGGGCAACGTCGAGGGAGGCGGATCCGAGCCTCGCACAGGTAGGCGCCGCAGAAGTAGCTCGTCTCACCCGCCCGCGCCGCGCGGGCCCGCGGCCTCCAGGTCTGCGCGAGGCCCGCGAATGGAGGGGCCGGCCCCCCGCGCCCCACACAAGCTGGGGAGCGGAGCGCCCTGCCCTGCGAAGCGCCGCGCCCTCGCCGCGACAACGCCCCCTCGCCCTCGGCACGCCCCGCCTCCAAGGGGCCCGTTTTCCACCACCACCACCACCATCACAGGCAGGACGGGGGACGAGGGAGGATTGGGTGGTCTTCCTCCTCCTCCTCCTCCTCCTCCTCCTCCTCCTCCTCCTCTTTCTTCTCCTCCTCCTCCTCCTCTCCTCTCCTCCTCCTCCTCCTCCTCCTCCTCCTCCTCCTCCTCCGCCTCCTCCTCCCACTTATGGTGGCGGCGGTGGGAAATCGGCCCGTCAGCTTCGCCTCTCGCCCATCGCATTTCGCCCCCCGTCTTTCGCCTTTCGCCTCGCCCCAGGCGGCGCGCCCGAGAGGCGGGGGAGGGGGGGGCCTGGCGTGACGGGGCGCAGCAGAGGCCTCTCGAGAGGGCGGGGGGGGGCTTCTCAAGAGCGCCTCCTCCTCCTCCTCCTCCTCCTCCTCCTCCTCCTCCTCCTCCTCATCATCATCATCATCATCATCATCATCAGCATCATCAGCATCGTCATCAGCATCATCGTCATCAGCATCATCGTCAGCATCATCATCATCATCATCATCATCATCATCATCATCATCATCATCATCATCATCATCATCATCATCATCATCATCATCATCATCATCATCATCATCATCATCATCATCATCATCATCATCATCATCATCATCATCATCATCATCATCATCAGCATCAGCATCATCATCATCATCATCATCATCATCATCATCATCATCATCATCATCATCATCATCATCATCATCATCATCCCGTGTTTACGTTCCCCGCTCCCCGCCTCTCGTTTCCGCGGGCTCAGCCGCGGCCCGGCCTCGCCGCGGCCTCGCCGCGGCCCGCTGCCCTCGGCCGGGCTGGCGGGTGGGGCATGGCAGGACAGGGGCGAGACCGCTCCCAGAACACCCCGGAGGGGCCGTGGAGCGCCCAGACTGCCCCACAGAGTTCCAAGACGCTCCCAGAAACCCCCGGGCGACTTCGACAAGCCCTTCCAAGACAGCCCAGATAACCCCAACGTGGCCCCAGATGGGTTCCAGACTGCAAACACACAGCCCAAGAGGCTTCCTAGAGGCCTCTATAGACCGAGAGGCGTCCCGAGAGAGCCCGAAGAGGCCCAAGATGGCCGAAGACGCCCGCCCCGAAAATCGCCCCAAGACCGCCGAATAGGCCGAAGAGGCCCCGAAAAGAGCACCAAGACGGCCCAGGAGAGCCTGAAGACTACCCAAGAGCAGCCCAAGACTGCCCAAGAGAACCCCAGGACAGGCCCAAGCTGGGCCACAGCGTGGGAACGGGAGGCCCCAAGGCGCACCAGGACGGCCGAGATGATTCCAACGTGGCCCCAGAGGAGCTCGAGTCGGCAAAAACACAACCCAAAAGGCATCCAAGAGGGCCCAAGAGAGCTCCGAGAGACGTCCCGAGAGAGCCCAAAGAGGCCCACATCATTGATTTGCATTGCTTTGTTTGATGTTTTACGCTTTCTCGCGTTCTCGAGCTTCCAATGCAGGGAGCCCGAAAATAGTACAGGAGGAGCTCCAGACGGGCGATGAGACCCCCAGGACAGGCCCAAGCTGGGCCACAGAGCGGGAGCGGGAGGCCCCAGAGCGCTCCAAGACGGCCCAGATGGCCCCGGCCTCCCCTCCGTACCTCCTTCACAATTACTCAATATGAATACTCTCCCTCTTCCCCTGATGACGGCTTGGGGGTATCCGACCCCCCCACGCGTACTGTTTTTTTCAAAAGGTTTGCCCGGAGTTGGGTTTTCGCCTGCATTTGTTTCCAAAATGCTGCTCTCGCTGAGGCGCCGGCCTCATTTTCGGGCCCCGCTCGTTCCGAATCGTGGTCCCGCGTTGCAGGGATGGCATCATTTCCGCCGGCGCCCGGGCTGCACGCCCGAGCCGGCGCCCGGGCCGGCGCTCCGGCTGGGTCCGGATCCGCTGGTTCCGGCCGGCGCCGGAAAATCGAGTTCCGAGGCGGCGCCGAACAAGGGCCATTCCAATGCACATTTTTCTTTTGAGAATGCTGATCTCTGCTTCCGGCGCCCGGGAGGCCCCGGGCCGCGGCTCGGGCCGGCGCCCGAGCTGGCGCGCCCAGGCCGGGCGCCCGAGCCGGCGCCCGGGGCGGCGCCCGGGCCGGGTCCGGAGCCGGTTCCGGCCGGCGCCGGAAAATCGAGTTCCGAAGCGGCGCCGAAAGAAGGCCATTCCAATACACATTTTTCTTTTGAAGATGCTGAATTTCTGCTTCTGGCGCCCGGGACGGGACGGACGCCTCCCGGGCCGATTCCGGCGTGCTTCCGCTCGTTCCGAATCGTGTTCCCGCTGCAGCGCTGGCCTCATTTCCGCGCTTCCGCTCGTTTCGACTCGTGCTCCCGCTGCAGCGCTGGCGTCATTTCCCGTGCCATGCCACGGCATGCAATGCAATGCTAGGTTGATACTACGCGTCGCGGTGCTCTTCTACGCCATGCCATGCCGTGTTCTACAATGCATCGCGTACCCTTTCGGGATCATTGCCCTGCTCGACATCCGATTGTTGCGAGTAGAATGAGGATATGCGCCATGGTAAGGGATGGGAGGGAGGGGTAGGATGTCAGATATGATGCGAGCGCACCTGGCTTACCTCCCGCCCCCTCCCCTTGCCTTCATTCCGTCCTCTCTCCTCTTCCTCCCCTGAGCGCCACAAAGGCCCGCCAGAGCGAGCGGGATATCGCCATAATTACCCTAGCTATACGGCCGCCTTGCGGGCGATACGGAGGTTGGGCGGGGATTGAGATCAAATGCCAACGCTGACTGACCTCCAGCCTGTCACCTTGATATCATCTCATCTCTGTGTCTCTCCCTCTCTCTCTCTCGCCCTCTCTCCCTCTTTCTCTCTCTCTCGCTCTCTCTCTTTCCCTTTCTATCAGAGTCTCCCTCCAGGCGCCGACAACAATGAATTGATGGATTGGGTTGGGTGGATTGGATTGGACGGGATAAGATAGAATGGATAATCTAACATTGGGTTTGATTGGGATATATGGTTTTGATAAGATAAGCTGGATTGGACTGGCCCGCCGCAGGCGCATAACCACATGAATTGATGGATTGGGTTGGATGGGTTGGATTGTGTAGGATAGGGTAAGATGGGACAATATATATGGGTTGGATAATATCAGATGTATTGGATTGGACGAGGTGGATTTGATAAGATAAGCTGTATCGGATAAGAAAGCCCGCCGCAGGCGCCGGCAAAAATGGCATGATGGATTGGGTTGGGTGGATTGGATTGGGCGGGATAAGATAAGGTGGGACAGTATGGGTTGGATAAGATCAGATGGATTGGATTGGACAAGATGGATTGGATAAGATAAGCTGGATTGGATAAGAAAGCCCGCCGCAAGCGCCGAAAACAATGGATTAAGAAAATAGGGACATGCGTTAGTGCCGGGACGTCCAGGACACCCGGGACACCGCCCGGCTCAATTGGGACACCTCCCGGCCACTGGCGAACGGGAAACGGACTTTCGCTCCTATTTCGGCCTAGCTACAGGAGGATCACGCGCAGCCTCGCCTCGCCCGCACGCACGACACGAACACGAAACCGAAACCGAAACCGATTTCCCGGTGGGGGGTCTCCGTTTCACTGCGATCTCACCCCCCAACTTCCCGATCATTTCACAAATTGCTTTCCCCCTCCCACACCTCAACGGCGGCCCCCGCAGAGCAATAGCGTTCTGACTACGGGTTTCTTTGCGTCGATAGCATGGGCCCGAGAACGCTGGAAATCGCCGTTGCGACCACACCGGGGCTTACAGCGGCACCCGTGCCTCATCCAAGCGCGCACGTACCGCGCGTGCGTGGTTCTAGTATGTATGTATGGGTGTATGTATGTGTGGATATGTATGTATGTATGTGTGTATATATGTATGTATATACGTACGTACGTAATTATGCAAGTGCGTATGGTTGTATGTGTGTAGTGGATGTATGCATGTATGTATGCGGATCTATAGATGCGTGTATGTATGTATGTGTGTTCGTGTATGCATGGATGCATATATGTATGTATATACGTACGTACGTAATTATGCAAGTGCGTATGGTTGTATGTGTGTAGTGGATGTATGCATGTATGTATGCGGATATATAGATGCGTGTATGTATGTATGTGTGTTCGTGTATGCATGGATGCGTGTGTGCGTGTGCGTGGTTGTGTATGTTTGGTTGTATGTGTATGTGTGCATCTATGAATGTATGTGTGTATGTACGTGTGTAAGTATGTGTGTATGCATGCATGCATCTAGGTGTGTGTGTTTGTGCATATATGTCCATATATGTGTCTGTATTCATGTGTGTATATGAGCATGGGATTATGTATGCATGTGTATGTTCATTACATTCCGCATGTACATATACATATGTGTGTTTGCGCATACGGCGGTATATGTGTATGCATGCCCGCCTGTATGTATGCACGCATACAGGTATTCAGGTAGGTATGCATTTATGCATGAATGTACGTACGGATTCATGCATGCATGTTTAAATGCAAGCGTGTTTGTATGTCTGTGTGCATGCATGTATGTATACATGCAGCTGTGTATGTGTCCCCGTGTACATGCATGTGTGTATGCATGCATGCATGCACACATGTATGGCTGTAGTGAAGTGGATTGTATTGGATTGCCTGCATGCATGTATAGGTGTGTACGTGTATATCCATGCTTGTTACGTAATTACGTACGTACGCGCGCATGTATGTAGATATGGGTGGACGGCGTTATGGATATATGTGATTACGTATAGACATAGTTGCGTTTGTTTTTCTTTACGCACCCGCGTATCCTCATACGTATACATCGGTGCATGCGTGTTTGCATATCCGAATATCGGTATGGGTATTTTATGCATGGTATCTGTATATATATACATATATATATATACATGCATATTTATATATATATGTATGTATATATATATATATATATATCTTGACATATCCAATGGCCGTCTGCCCATCCCGCCACCGCGCCTGGGTTGGGCCATAGGCCCCTAGGGTGTTCGTTGGGATATCGCGGGAGGCCTCTCGGGCGCCGTGTGAAGGCCTCTTGGGAACCGCTTTGGGGCCTCTAGTGGCGTCTTCGGGGCTTCTTGGGGGTCTCTTGGGGCTCCCTGGTGGCCTTAAGGCCTCTTTGTGGCCTCGTGGGGGCTTCTTGGGGCGTAAGACCTAGATTTTCAGTTCGGGCCGTCTCGGGCCATCTTGGGCGCCTCTGGGGCAGTTTTGGTTCCCTCTTGGGCCGTCTCGAGGTCTTCATGGGGCCTCTTGGG